CCAGCTCACACCACCCTTCAGGTCACCCTTTTTCTCTTACTCTCTGTTGGGCTTTCTCAATAAGTTTCCAAAATGAGGTCCTATGTGCTGAGGCAAACACTACGTGCCTGGTGGGAGCTTGGCATTCCTGATATTCTCACCAGCCATCTGTCCCCAACAGTGAGCAGCACTGGGCTTCCTGAGTCATAGGCTCTGAGAAAAGGGATGCCAGATGTGGCTGAAAGCAGCTGCGGCCCCTCCCCTCCAAATCCAGTCCTCCTGCAAGGAGTGGTGCTGAGGGTGTGATCACTCCTTCCCCAGAAAGTTGTCTCACTTGATTCCAGACCAGTTCCAGAATTCAAAGTTAGTGATGCTAATAGGCTGAATAATGGCCACCCCAAATACCAAATCTTAACCCCTGAAATCTAAATTACCTTATTTGAAAAAGGGGCCTTTGCAGCTGGGATAAAGTTAAGGATTTTGAGATGAGATTATCCTGGATTATGTCAGTGGGTCCTACATGCCATCACAAGTGTCCTTTATAAGAGAGGCTGAGGGACTTGGGGAGAGAGACAGAGGGGGAGAAGGAGAGAGGAGAAGCCACGTGCAGACAGAGGCAGAGGTGGGAGAGATGCAGCTACAACCCCAGGGACCCGGGGTGGGGGGGGGGCAGAACTGGAGGAGGCAGGAAGGACCCTCCTTTAGAGCCTCTGGAGGGAGCACAGCCCTGTGACACCACGACATTGGACTGCTGACTTCCAGGACTGTGAGGGAATAAATTTCTATTATTTTCTTCAACTCACCAACTTTGTAGCAGTTGATGACAGCAGCCTCAGGCACCAATACGGTGCTACAATGTTCAAGTATAAAATGTCTACATAGAAGCCACATGGAAATATGCAACATTATGCCAATGCTGCCACAGTTAAGGAAGCCCCCACCCCCCATCCCTATCCCCCCGCCAGCCCCAGGATTCAGACCGGGTTAGTCTTCTTTTTCTTTGTTTTCGTTTGGTATGTCAAGAAGCAGGTTGCAGAATGTTTGGCTGAGGTGGTCCTCAGAGTGAAAACTATGAGGCCCCCAATATATGTACTTGCAAATAGATCCCATGACCTTGAACAAAGGTTGTCTGTGCACAGTGCTATTTTCCAAGTGTGTATTTGTTGGCAGCACAACAGACACACCTTAACACTCATCCCCAAATCTCAGCTAGGACTGGTCCCATGGCAACTGCAGACTTGACCTGTCAGCTTCTTTCTGTGGTTAGGGTTTCTGAATACTCCCAGGAGGTAGTGAGTGTTGTGGATTGGGGGAAGGGGGCACTGCTCCCCCTCGGAAGTTGGCTGGATTGGTAGAATGTGCTAGTGTATGGCCTTGAGGATCGTGGTGAAACTGAGTCTCAGGAACATCTGTGACTGTGAGGATGTGTACTCGAGACTGGACTGCATCTTCAGTCATTAGATGTCTACTTCGGGGACACTGATCCCAGGAGCTCACGCCTCTCTTGCTCCCAAGATTCCAGCCAGCAGGACTCCAGCCAGCAGGAAGGCAAATAAAACACAGACTAGGGTCTCATTTCCGGCCTGAGCACACGTGTTTTCCTGTAATCAGCCCCATCTGCGAGCATTGCTGAGGTCGCCATTGGTGTGGGGAGGAGCAGACCCAGCCCTGCTGCTCTTTCCACACTTTCAGAAGCACCGCTATCCTCAGCCTGGAGGAAACACCAGACGACTCCTGGTCTGTGGACTGGTCCCTGCCTACAGTCGGACAGAGGCGCCAACAAGGTACCAACAAGGGAAATTGATTTAAAATTGTAAAATCGATACACAGTGAATGAGACCATTCAGATATGTGCGTAAGGCTCCTTAGAAATGATGTAGAGCGAGAGAGAGGTTACCTACGTGACTGTGACACAAACAAGGAGAAAACAAGAAGAATCATCCTGAAACACAGGAAAATGGGACAGCAAATAAAAGTGGCCCATGCTGGCAGTGGTCTTTTCATCACAACTAGGAAAAGAAGGCCTCTTGGGGCCCACCCCCACCCCAGGTCCTGCTTGCTCAATGCCAGTGAGTGCTGGATAAGAAAGAACTCTCCTGCTGTCACTGTGATAGTGACACTGCCTCCTGACTGCACGTGGCCCAGCCCCTCGCTCGGGTTTCCTACAGGAAGAGTGCAGACTGACACAAGCGATCTGAGATAATTATGTTTCTTTTATATGAGCAAATTTGCACGTTAGAGTCAGCTGAGTCTGCCACAACTGAGTTGGTCTCCTTGGGTGTCATCAGCAGTCATCACTAGTGACAGTGATGTCACAAGTGTACCACTGGCAGGAATATTTAGCAAACATTCAAGGTGCTATCTCTATAGGGTTGAGAGGGAGAGAGGAAGGAGGGAGGGAGGGAGAGTGCACTCCCATTCCCCCAGCTTGCTTTGGGAGGGGATTTTCTTACAGGCAGAAGACAGAAGCGAGATAATCCTCAAAGTAGAAGCTCAAAGTGTAAATTGACAGACAATAATGTTTCCAACAAAGGCATCCACTGAACAACACACATATGAAACAAAACATGCTTGATGTGAAAGGGACTCTGGCCCTTACTCCTGGGTTTGTCACTCCACTCCCTGGACACGGTTAGGTGAGCAGGTCTCCCTGACTGTAACGAGACTGGAGAAGTCCCTATGACCCTACTGGGAATATTTTTGATGTAAGACATGGTGATCACAAAACAAACCGGAATTGATTTTCATCCCTTCAAATGAAAATAATATTTGCAGCACAGGATGCTGTCACAAGTGCGCCTATCTGTCCTGTTTGACCTTCAACAAGAGTTGTCATTATCCAAGAGCACAGTCAGGAAACGAATGGTGAAGGTCACAGAGAAAATTAGGAGCAAAGACAAAACCGGAACTAAGTTTTTGGACTCCTGCAACCCCACGTGTCCCCACTCTGGTCCTGGAGACGCTAGGAGATTGTTGCTGCACTTACAAGTCTATTCATTCTGCAAACAGTAGTTACTGAAACTATTAGAGTTAGAAATCAACATTTGTAACTTGGTTTACAGAGTAACATCTGTGATTCTAGTGACTGTCACAGCATAAGCCAATTTCCTATCCACACACCTCTGCTTCTCCAACAAACTGGGCCAGAGGAACCGAGCCGGTGGCCGGTGCTGCGGTCATATCCATCCACCAGCCAGCGCCTTTCTCTGCGGCATCCGTGTTTTCCTCCCCCGACCACATGTGTGGGGCTGGGTGGATGGGTGGAGGCCGAAGCCAACATGTGTGGGATGCCCTGTGGGGCTGCACCCCAGCCCTCTCCAAGCCCGAGTGTGTGCTGAGAGCTCCAGGCCCAGCGCTTAGTCCTGACTGTGGAGAGGGCCAGAGGGACAGGGAAGGGGGAGGGTACAGGAGGGAGGAAGAGAAGAGGGAGGGAAGGAAGAGGAGGGAGGCAGGCGCTGCAGGTTCTGGCCTGAAGTGCAACCCTGGGGCAGTGCTGGCCTCTCTTTGTGGCCAGTCACCCCGACCTCAGCCGCTGCCTCCTCCAGCCAGTAGGGTGGCCTCGGTCACCAAAGTGCCAGGCTGTCCCCCTGCCTAGCTCTTAGTATGCGTAGCTGCCATAGGGACTCACTTCAAGGAAAAGGAAGGCGCTGGCATGGATGGGATCAGACTGGATGCCGGCTTGCCTACCCATGTCCAGGAGGTCAGTGGGTGATTTTGGTCTGGAGGCAGGCCACACGGGCGGCGGAAGGCAAACTCAGACAGAGCATGTGCAGAGGGCAGACATCGGCCAGCGCAAGAAGCCCCCAGATGGTGTGGGCAGTGGGAGGACCCGGTCCGTAGCTTCGCAACTTGCAGCTGCACAGAAGGCACTCACATGGCGCTGGCTGTCCCTGGATGCAAGGGTTGCCCACTCTCGGGGTGTCTGCTCCAGGCCCCGAGAGCCACCCAGCCCTTCATTTCCCAACACCTCGGCTTCTTTGCCGCCCATTGTGACTCTGCTAGGACCTCTGAGCGTCCACGCAGTAGCCTAAGTGCAGTGCACTAAAGCGACCATCTCTGTCCTGCGGGCAACCCACTCTTGGAGGACACATGACCCAGAGGGGAGAGGACGACTGGGAGGGCCGAGCAGCATCAGAATCGCACATATTTTAGAATCCTGTGGGCGTCACAGGGAGGGCTGGCGAGGCCACACCAAGGGCTCACGTCAGTCCAGGCATCTCGCCACCAGCGTCTCTGAATGGGCGTCACAGAGGGTGGACGCTGCCAGTGTGTCAACGCCCAGGTTGCAAACAGGTGCTGCCCCAGAGCAGGGCTCCGACCTGTCTCTCTTCTGAATGGCTGTGTGAACCTGCGACTGTGTGGAACCTATCTTCCTGATTAGAAATGGGCGTATGACCTGACGAAGGGATAAACTTTGAAAGAAGGACTTCTTGCCGATTCTGGAGGCTTTCTGGACAGAGCCAGACTCAGGGCGGGGGGCCGAGCAGTCGCACAGGAACCACGCACGTGGCTTAACGTTCTGTTGTCCTGAAATTCTCACTGGCCATGGCACGGGCCCCACGGTTTCATCTGCTATTTTGGGTCACGCTGCTGGTTAATTAGTCTGCACTCTCACACCCCTGATTGTTGTTGGCTTCTTTCTCGTCCACCAAACGCTGAGCCTCAGGGCCCATCTGTTGTGCCCAGTGGCATGCTCAGGTGGCTTCCAAATGGCTCCGTTTCTCCATTAATCCATTAACAAATCTTTGCAGGAAGCGAAAGAACGGGCAGAGCTTCTTTATTACGAGAAAAACTTTAAAATTCCTTAAATTAAAAAGTGAAAAACAAGTTTCCGGTACTGTCAGTGCGAGGCTTCCGTGTCACGGTCAGGCTGAAGGACAGCGCTGAACAGGCCAAAAGCAAAAGGTGAGAAGCTGTGGCACCCCGCCATCCACGCAGGCGCAGACGTGTCTCCCAGTCGGGCCTGAGGCCACAGGGCCCGCCCACCATGCTGAGGCGGCCACGCCCACTTCTCCCCACAGGTGTGAGCAGCGCTGAGGCACGCCGGCAAGGGAAGTCTTCCCACTTCAGCGTGAACTGGGTCACAGGTCACTCAGACGTGGAGATCCTGGACGCCACCACCGGGAAGCGCAGCTGCGGGGGCTCGTCCCGGCTCTGCAAGCACATGTTCTCAGCCCGGTGGGCGCGGCTCTACGGAAAGGTGGGTGATGGCTCCTTCGTGGGGCAGCTGCCCAGCCACCAAGGCCACGGGCCCACAGAAAGCCATTGGGTCTGAGGCCAGGGGGACCTGTGAAAACCAGTTCCTGGTCTGTTTCCTCTGTCCCAACTCCCGCAGGTCCAACGGCTGGGGGGAGGGGTCTTATTCGGGACACCTGGTATGGCCAGCACAGGGCCCCACAGGAAAGTCTGTAGAAGTCAATGTTTTTCCCAGTGTAGATATAAGGAAACTGACGCTCGGAAAAGGTAAGTGATTTCCCGAATTCCCCAGGTAGTGACTCTCAGGGAGGGTTACATTCATTCCTCCCCAACCCCTGAGGCTGCGAATTTCTGCTATGAGCATCAGCTTATGCTCTCCTCTAGAAATAGTGTAATAGCGACATTTCTGGGTTTGAAATTGTAATATACATTTCCAGGTGTTTCCAAAGCATAACAGATTGTAACAACAACAAACCCAGAAAACAGAAAGGCAAAGAAAGAAATTAAAGCTGCTGGGCTGATTCTCCACACTTTCTTACCCAGGCACTGACTCCAAACAAGAGTGACTTTCGTGGTTATCAGCCAGTAGAAGAATAGGACAGACATGCTGATTCTTAAAATAAACATTGTGCCCACTCCCAGGATACTGGAAATTGCACATCTCAGCCCCTAACTTGGCAGTGACCCCTGCGCCACTATGGGCCCTGTGGGGACCTGCTCTGTTCCTCCCCACCTGTTCTGGGCACTTTGCACGGGTCCCCTCTTCTACACACAGCAGGTCTATGTTGAGACTCTGGAAGGTCAGAGCACACCATCAGCTCTGTCTTGCTAAACAAAGGGGCCTCTTCTGCACAGGCTCGAGGTGATGGTGGCAGCAAGCTGGCAGGCTGGTCGCCACTCACCAGGGACCCTCAGTAGGACTCAGGGGAGCCTGACCTTCACATTAGTTGGGGCAGTCAGGCCCTACGTGGTCCCTGCCTGTGTTGGCTGCACAGCTGTGCCTGTCACAGCTCAGGACGATGAAACATCCCACTTTCATTGTCCTCATGGCCAGTTAGAATATAACTCAAAACCCTCCTGGGTCCTGCCTCTGAGATGACAACACCTCGCCTCCCAGAGTCATCCCCAGCCCCACCATCCCCACCTCAGTATGAACCCCTAAACCTCCTCCAAAAAGAAAAACTACATGCAGTGCTTGGCTTTTTAATAGCAGGCAAGTTACATGCTTATTTTATCCACTAATCACTCACACTCCTGGTGAAGTAGTTTCCCCAAAAGTGGGTTCTCCATGGAATTACAGAATTGCAGGTTACTACTCCAGCTACTGTTTTTCTATTTTGACTTTTATATGAGTTTTTATCTTATTGGTAGTTCAGTTTGGGGAGAATAAATTTTTAAGAGCTCTAGTGAGGCCTAATAGACACATGAACACTATACATTTAAGGTGTACAGCTTGATAGTTTGGTGCCTAACATGTGAAATGACCAAACAGAGCTCACGAACACACCCGTCACATCCACACAGTTACCCTGTGAGTGTGTGGGTGGTGAGATCTAGCCTCATAACACATGTCAAGTGTACTGCCTCTCCATCACATCACTTTTCCATTTTAAATGAAGCGAGAAGAAAAAGCGCGAGGCTAACTAACATTTGCTTGTTATGCCCGGGCACTCTGTTTCCGCCTGTGGCTCACTTGTCTTTTCTCACTCTTGTCCCACAGCTGAGCACTCGGATACCAAACCATGGGGACATACCGGCCATGTACTGTGAAGCCAAGCTGGGGGCACACACCTACCAGTCTGTTAAACAGCAGCTGTTCAAGGCATTCCAGAAGGCGGGCTTGGGCACCTGGGTGAGGAAGCCACCCGAACAGGACCAGTTCCCTCTCGCTCTCTGAGTCACTGGCCCCAGGCCTCCGGATAGAGTGAGGCACCTGGGCTGGGTGGGCGGGCAGACATGAGGAGCGAGACTGTGCCGATCGGGTCTGTGCATTCATTTCCTTTGGTGTTCCAGAAATACTCGAGCATGCAATGCTCGGAAGAGTAACCAGACTTGAGTGAGGAGGATGCTGCTTCTCAGATGGCCAGTCCAAGGCTGGACCAGCAGGGCCGGCACACCTCCAGGCACCAGGGCAGTGAGACTTCTTGGTGTGTCAGAGGGATCATGTCTATTCGGGCTGGAGAGTCCGAGTGGCAGCCTTGAAAGGTGGTCCCAAGGCATTGCCAGTTAGAAATCAACCTCAGGCACCATCCCCTACGTTCCCCTCTTGAGCGATGCACTTGGTTCTCACGAGCACAAGCTTATAGGAACTTCAAGACAAGCCACAAGTCAAGAGAAAAGCCATGGGCTCCTCCCCCAAAGAAGCCAGTAAGAATGCCCTGTCATTTTCATTATTCATTTAAGTGTTTTACTCCGTCTCCTTTGCAAAGCATTGAGGATGCACGATATTAAAGAACGCCTAATTGCAGGACCAGAGAAATGAGACCATTGTTGCAGAGCAAAAGAACTTGACGCGAAGAAATTAAACTTCTCTAAACTTCCCAGTAACTGAGTGTCGCAAGCTGTCCCGTGCCTGTTTCGTCCATCACACTTTGGTGTCTCCGGCAGATGCAGCACCACTGAAGAAGTTTGAGCTGCATAAGGGTCTGCGAGCACCCCAATCCCTCCCCACCAGGTAGTGAGGAAACCCCGGCATAGACCAAATTCTGACTTACAAACTAAATTGTTCTTACACAGCAAGCACAAAAGCCTCCGAAGCAACCTTGACTCTGGGCATGAAGACCTACCAGCTCTCCATTCCCCTAGGTTCCCCATCACCATCACCGTCTTGCACGACAGAAAAAAACTCACTTAAAACAGCTGCACAAACACAAGAGGCAGGATTCTGTCCCAACCAGAGCTGGCAGCAGACGACAGCTACATAGGACCCTGTTCATGCAAATGAGGTGCCTCCCCAACATGCGTGTAGTAGGTCAGGCACCCGGACTCTTCACTCTGACACTGAGAACTCATTTCCAACACCCAGCCTGCCAGTTAACAAGCCTCTAGTTTCTCCAATTACAAGAGTGAGCTAAGTAGCAAACCTTCGTAGTAGGCAGCTTTGGACTCTGGGCTCCAGGTTAGAATCCCAGCTGACCACCTGGGGGCACATCTGAGAACACAGGTTTCCCACTTAACCCAGGAATTGCACGCATAACATCATGCTGTATATATTCAGGTACAAATTACAGACACCATACCAATCAGGCAAAAGTGAAATGAATCGAATTGTAGATATTTGTTACATGGTAACAAGAAATAGACACATTAGTATGCAAATAGAAGTTTTTCCCAGGATTTCATACAAGGTCAAATTTATCACTCAAGTTTTTTTAGAAAGGAAAACGGGCGCTGCGGTGTACACCTTCTCCAAGATAAAGTTTCGAAAGATATGAAAATGTTTTTGCAAATATGACTTATTAATCTGTTATAAAAATTGAGGAAGTAGAATGAAATCTTAGTACAAATGGCCCGTTTATATTAGTTTCTAATAATGTGATGTAGTACCAGGGTGGGGCTCAGAAATCCAAAACCCTTGAGAGTGGATTTGATTTAGACTCTCAGCCGCCAATACCCAGAACACTTCTCTGAACGCAGCGGGCACAGGGATCCCTGGGTGAAGTCTGCGACCTGGCCCTGAGTTTGCTCCCTGGACATGGTGTACGCTTTACATCAGCTGCTCCAGACAAAGCTCCCCCCTACCATGGGGAATGCGCATTGGCGGGAGATGCAGGATGGAGCAACCTTCACAGGGGCATGGTGGGCCACCAGTACAGTCTGGTTCATGGGACCCGGAAGGCACTCTCCTACCCCGTAGTGAACACGCCCACAATGCCCGAACTAAAGCGGCTTGGTCACAAGTCATTTTACCTGAGGCACCGGCTCTCCAGAAACAACCTAAACCCCCAAAACACAGGCTCCTACTTCTGAAGAAAGCCGCACACTAACACCACTATGCCCATTAGCTCCAGCATGGGGGTTAGTCAGCGAGGCCAGCAGGGGCTCCTTGGAAGGGGACACTAGGCTCCGCAGAGAAGGTGGACAGCGAGAGAAGGAACCAGTGCAGCGGGAAGTCCATCCGAGCCTGGCACTCTGCGTGGAGGCCCCTGTCCAGTTCACAGGGAAATTGGGAGGGGACGCTTGCAGGCTGTGGGCACAGGGTGGTGCAAGGTGGAGGGCAGAGCCACCAGAAGGCGGACCCAGCCGGGAGGCCAGGGGCAGGGTTCTGTGCACAGGGCACCCGGCGTGGCTGATGGAACAGGTCGTTTCCCAGAGAGAGAAGGTCTAGAGGGGGAAGGAAGCCTGAGGGTTTTGCTGTCTGCATCAGTCCAAAAGGGCGTCCCAGTACTGCTTCAGGCCAGGTCTACCCTGAACTTTTGAAATAGAAAGTCTGTTAAATTCGAGTCTGGAGAGGAGCCCACACCCACCTCACCATGTGAGGTTTCCACAAGGAGAACAAAGCACGAGTAAGTAGTTTGTGACTTTCAGTCACCCCAAAAATGTGACCCAGCAGAAAAAAGGAAGAGGGACAGACATAAAGTCATGGGCTCCCCAGGCACCCAGATTAACGGACTGCCTCCACTGCCCACCTGAATCTGCCTTGGAATCACCACCCTTCATCACCCCATGGCTCAGGCTCCTTTGTTCCCAACCTCCCCATGTTCTGTATTTACAGCTCTTTAGCCCTATGTCTAAAGTCCAGATAAAATCAACACCACCTTTATCTGCCTCTAAAGCACGAGTTGCTTTCTTGTCTGGGAAATAAGCCATGGAAGCTTTCCTGCCTGGCTCTCACAAAAAGTGACCACATGCCAGGCTTTGGCAGGACTCAGCAAGGAGGAGGTCATGCAGTCCAGCTCCAGTGCCCAGTTTCACAACATGTGACAGCAAGTTACTGGATTTAGGATTTCTTTGGTTTTTGGTTTTTGCCAAGGGAAGGATTTGCGGGTCTGTAACTATCACTTCTTTTCATGCCTGTGGTTCTCTTTTAGTCTGTATATATCTTTCTTGCCACCACTGGTTTTGTGACGTGTCTTAGTCCTCAGAAACGTCAAGTTGAGTTACTTTTTGAGAGAACACAGCTCATATAGTTCCCACATACTTTCCTTTTCACAGGAAGCTGTTCTTATCAATTAATTTTTTTTCCTTTGTTAGAGTGTTCACCACATCTGGAGAGCCATAAGCAGTAGATACATGGTGTATTAATGCCCAGAATAGAAGAGTTAGAATATTTTGATGAAATCCTATTTTTAGATTATAAATTTCAAGACGTGTCTATAGTATCTTGTTTAAAAAGTTTTTTAAAGATATTTAAAACTTAAATAGACATTTTTCTTAGGGAAACTTCTACACCCGTTTTTTTAAGAAGCCACTCTAATGGAATCATTTGTGCAATTGGCCCGAAACACAATAAACATCACTCTCTAGTGGGGACCAAAGGAGACCAGGAGACTTTCTTCCTGTGCACTGACTGCGGAGACCGCCTGGCGGAAGTCTGGTTGAACTCAGCAGGCCCTGATGTACCTGGGTTGGTTCCCTCCACCCTCCGGAGTCCAGTTCCTGAACTGGTCACCCATCCAAGGTCAGAAATACGCATCCTGCATATTTCCAGTTCCAAGTTCTCATGGAATTTGTGGGCAGTGTGAAAAATTACAGGACAGGCTGTAACACCATCAAGCAGCATCTAGCAGGGACAACATCCCTCTGAGGTCTTGCTGGTCTTTTTATGCTCCTGCAGGCATGGTGATGAGATGTAGGGTAGGTGGGGACAGGGCAGGTGGGTGGGACCCATACATGCAGAGCTGGGGAGAGCTCGCCACTGTCCGTGGTCTTGACCTATTGCAGCCTTCAGCACTGCTGTTTCTCAGAACGCTGGGATATTGTTGGCTCCTGACAAACTCCTCCCACAAATTCTGAATCAGACGAAGGATGGGGGTGAGGGAGCAGACACAAACAAGACATGCAGACTGCACAGTGACGGCCTGGGACAACAAATGCAGCCCCTCCCAGTCCTGGGGCCATCACCACCGTCTGCTGCTTCTCCCACCAGCACTGCCTCTCTGGTTTTCTTTCTCACATGTTCCTCTCCCTCCACTTCCTGTTCCCCTTTTTATTGCCTTCCCTCCCTATCCTAAACTTCTGACTCCCTCAGACTTGAGTCTCAGGCGTGTGTCTGCCCCAAGCTCCACAGTGCTCATCTGTGAAGCAGGTGGACATTAAGAAATAGGCCCGAGCCCGATGGGTTCCTGTGACATCTTGTCCAGAGGGATTTACAAGAGTCCTTTCCTGATTTCCTGCAACATGACCACATAGTTGACCATACAACATGTCCCACCAAAAGGGATACCAATGGCCACATCTCTAGACATTTAGACTAGACAATACCACTCCTGTGGGGAATTGCAGACAGTTATCAAACCCAGAGAAAGAAAGACCTTGTTTCCCAACTCATCATTTCATAGTCAAAATTGGGAGGATGCAACACCCTCTAAGATAAACATAAAATGACTTGAATTCTAGGGCCTCTTTTCACACAGGCACTAGATTTCTATCACTCTGCAGTATATGCATCAGTAAAAAAGAAAAAATACTTTCCCAGCAGTGCCCAGTTAACTTTCAACTAATTTTCAGCATTTTTTAAGCAAAATGAACTTAATAAATAGTAATTCTTAAGTGAAGGTTTGTACATAAAAGGCATGATTGAATGGCAATATTGTACCAATGGATGTATATTTGTAATATTTGTAAAAAAAATTCAAAATCTTAAAATATTAATTTACATATTTGCCTCTAAGTTCTGTAAATTGCACTTCAGTGATATCTGATAAGTGAATGTTTCTGTTAAGTGAATAAAAATATGAAGTAAAATTATGCCTTCCTGGGAAGTTGGGCCTTTTTCATCAGGCCGAGTTCTAGGGGCCTCTGGGAAATACGATGTGTGGGTTCAGTTAGAGTCTATAGTGGGTCTGCCCACTACAAAGAAATGGCACACTCCACCCTGAAACTTTTTTTCCTTAATGATTCTGTCTGTGAGTGGGTCACCCTTATAGATTTAATGTGAATGAACTCCAGACAATATCGCAGGACTGGGCATGGAGGACTCACCTCCCAGCCCTGACCCAGCTGCTCATTAACTGTAGAGGATAGAACAAGCCATTGGGTGCATGACTTGGCTCTAGGTTTTCCCACTGTTGAGTTGGGGGAACACAGCTCCTCACAGCTCCACAGGCAGGCAGGCATTGAGAGGGTTGGCAAGGTGAGGATGATACAGGGCTTTGGGAAGATATTTAGGATACAGAGTCCTCCACCCATGATGGGTACAGTGACCTTATAAAAAAAGACCCTAGCACAGAGAACCCGGACGTGGCTGATGACTTCCCTGTAGAATTCGAGGCCAGAGGGCTTCAGGCCGTAAGAGACGCCTGAAAGTTCACTTGGTGTCTGCAGCCCTGCACCAAGAATGTGGCAGGGCTCCACAGCACACTTCCCGCACCGGCTGAGGGACTTTGATATTTCACCTGTGACTGGGGCAGAGCTCAGGACTTGCGTGCCTCCGGGTCAGGTTTCTTTTCTGACAGTGCTCCTCTCATCCATCATGTCTTCTGGGCCAGGGGGAGCTCCTTATGTTGTGTTAAGTCTGCACTTGTGTCCCATTAACCACAGTGACCCTCATCTCAAGTGAGAGCATGAGGTCCCAGGATGCAGGTCCTTATGCGTCCTGTCATCCTCAGGTCAGGTGGGGGAAGGACTGGGCAGCTTCTCCTTTTCCAAGCCTTGCCATAAGGAGAGGACACTTAGGGCCACAGTTATTAGCAGGGAACAGAGGGGACATGAAAGCATAAATAAGGTCAAAGCAACTCTCACCCACATCGTTTGGCAAATATGAAAATTTGTCAGCTTGAATCACCAAGCTTTGAGGATCTGGTAGCCTGGTGGTGGCATTGTTTAGTGACCAGAGGAGTGAAAGAAAGCTCCCCAGGCTGATCTCTTCACCGTCTCCCAGAAGTGACTGGAGGGCATGCAGTGTTTGCTATCTTTCAGAGGACTTCCTCCTATGACATGAAGAGCAATCATTCTGGAAATGAGCAGCCTGGCTCTTGGTCACCTTTTCAGACCTGATGGCTCTGTATACCTACCTAGACCAGTGCTCACCCATCAAGGCCCCACCTGCCATGGCCATCAGCACAGCATTGTTTCTTGTGACATTATTCTTTCCGGTTAAGAATGGTTTGGTAAGACGTGGCATTTACGATATTGTCTCAGCAAAAGGTTTAGCTAAGTGCATGTTTCCCAAGGGAAGTATTATAACTGGAGTCTGCCCTGATTCTTAATGTTGGGTAGGTGTCACGTGGGTGAGGACAAAACGGCCAGGCAAGCATGGGGACGCACTGCACCCATGTCCAGTCTGCAGCCACTGAGTCAGCCCGTCTAGTCGGGTTTAACTGGGTGACAGAATGAGCTCTGCCCACTGAGTTCCTGAAAGCCGGTGCCCTTGCAGATCCAGCCTTCTGGAAAAGTCTTCTTATCAACGAAGATGAAGAGTGAACGGGGCCCAGGATAACAACAGGGGCTCGATGATGGCCTGCCCCAAAGAGGTCATATTCAGTCCCCTCGCCTCTGAGAATTATAATTACTGGCACTGAGCTGCTGAGGACAGCAGTTTACCATGGGCCCTGCCCACTCAGAGCTGGGGGAGGGGCTCAGCACGGAGCCTGGAGCTGCCATGCTTCCAGAGTCACAGGACCGACCACTCGTCCTGCTCCTGAGTGCTGAGGGCTCGGCAAATGGCATCAGAGTTTCAGAGCTTCAACGTGCCATGGGGAATGCTGACCCTGAAGGGTCATGGCAAGGAGCACAGCAGACACAGTGAATTCTCTTAAGCTGAAAGGTGCTGTGCAAACCCTGGTGGCTTTTCCTCAGAGACACTGAGCACATGTGGCAGGTGGCCCTGGTGACCTACTTGCGAGGTCAGGTCCACTCAAAGATTCCATGATTTCGGTAGCAATCCAGGGTTGGAAAGTGCTAGAGAATGGAAGAGGAATTGGATCCTTGCGGGGAAGGGTAAGTCATCACAGAGACAGGAGGAAAATGAGGTGCTGCCACTTTTATACAGCCTGGGAGAAAAGAGCACATCAGGAAGACTATCAATTGTGCAAAAAATACATATTGTGGTCTGAATGTGTCCCCTCCAAATACATATGCTGACACCCCACTCCCAATGTGATGGTGTTAGGAGGTGGGCCTTGAGGAAGGGATGAAGTCATGAGGGTGGAGCCCCCACGATGGGATCAGTGACCTTATAAAGGAGTCCCAGAAAGCCCCCTGGTCCCTTCCACCATGTGAGGACACAGGAGAAGACAGTCTGGGAACCAGAGAGCAGGTCCTCCCCAGACACTGAACCTGCTGGGGCCTTGACCCTGGGCATCCAGCCTCCAGACTGTGAGGAATAAGTGTCTGCTGTTTGTAAGCCCCTGGTCTGTGGTGTTTGTTATGCCGCCTGAGCGGACTGAGACAGACAAGGAGAGTGAGGACTCAGAAAACACCACTGATGACCAAGAGGAAGGCTGAGCTTTGAAGGAGAAATTTTGTGACAAGTGAAGGGTGGATGCTGGCACAGTGACGTGAGTGGGGCAGGGCTGTGGCAGTGGACAGCATGTGCACGTGGATTCTAACTTGGGAGGAAGCAAGTGAGACAGAGGAGTTAGCAGAAGGGGCCCAGCACAGAGTGGTGTGGGGGTGCTCAGCACAGCGGGAGTTGAGGGGCTCCTGCAAGGACTAGAACCACCCAAGGGCCTCCTGGAGCTGGCCGCTGGCCTGGGGTGTACCTGCTGCCACCTGGGCTCGGCAGGGCTAGTCCTGGGCACAGCGAGGATGGACTGGGGCCACTGTGCGCCCAGCCTCAGGAGAGGCCACCAGAAAGTGATCCCACTAGGGCAGTGGTTTGTGGCTGCTTTTTTTAAAATTAGTCATCCCCAGTGCCTAGTATATGGCAGGTCTCCCATAAGATCTGCTAATAAACAAATAAGCCAGCATTTCCACGGTAAGGCTGGGAAGGGAGGAGGACCAGGCCCGAGCAAGAGAGATGTCAAGCACTTGACATCCGGTTGCACGGGAGGGGGAGAGTCAGCAACCTCAGCAAGCCAGCACACCCCGGCCTGTAGAGGTGTCCCCACGCCTGTTTGTCGACTCACTGCTCTTTGTCTGTCTCACACTCAGGTAGCGCAACTGCACAAAATACAAAGCTACTTCTCCTTAGAAAACCACCTGCTCGCCGCTTCTCCTCAAGGAGTCATCGGCCCACTCAGCAAATGTCACTTCCACTTTGCTTCCCCTTCAGTTACGCTAAGTGTATAAATGTCCCTTGTGACCAGAGCCCTGCCACCAGCCGACACTGCTCTGGACGCCCCGGCAGTCAACTGACATCGCCGCAGAGTCTCCAGGTCTCAGGCCCATGAGTTGACCGTCAGTTCCCATTTGTGTGAAGCACCTCACAGCCCCGCTGGAGCACTCATAAGGCTCCGTGACATGCGGTTAATAACGTGCCCTGGGGACAGCCGCCCAGGCGCAGGGAGGGCAGACCCAAGGACCAGCAGGACAAACCCTGGGGGGTGTCACATTGGGGCAAGGGTCACAGTCAGCATCGAGTGACAGGTCCTATCTGAGCAGCACAGTGCATCCCTGCTCCACACACAGTCTTTGGCAAAACAGATGTCACAACTCTCCGTTTTGGTCACCTGAAATGGCGCGTTTAAGAATAAATAAGTGGTACCGTATTTGCCGACATTAAATGTCCACTGGTGGTGAACCCAGGCAGCTCTGGAGGCAGAGGGGTGTGCGGGCTGACCCTGCTCACAGCATGGGCCTCTCCCCACCCCCAAACATTTGGCAGACACGTGTTATCTCTTAGAACGCCCCATGCAGTCCTCAAGGAGACCAGACCTTCAAGAGTCTCACCGGCTTTGTGCCTGATGCTCTAACAGCATCAGGTGCTCCACGTGATTGGTGCAGCAGACTGAGCGTTCCTATCTGCTCAGGCTGTTCATCCACACTCTTGAGCCAGGATGCTCCAAAAACAGGGATGTGTGTACAAAGAGTGAGAGACTGATTTCAAGGAAGCGGCTCATGATATTGTGAGTGGACATCCCCTAGCAGGAAGCTTCAAGCACTGGGTCTGGTGACCTACTTACCGTGGAGAGAAAATTAGCCCAAAGTGAAAATACGAGGTCTGACAATTAAATTCGCGAACTTGTTGCAATGATGTTACTAACCTTTTTTGATACCAGAGGGATTATTCATTATGAATTTGTACCAACTGGACAAACAGTTAACCAAGTTTACTATTTGGAAGTGCTGATAAGGCTGCGTGAAAAAGTTAGATGAAAATGACCTGAACTTTTTGCCAACAATTCATGGCTCTTACATCACGACAATGCACCAGCTCACCTGGCACTGTCTGTGAGGGAGTTTTTAGCCAGTAAACAACTGTATTCACACACCCTCCCTACTCACATGATCTGGCCCCCAAGGACTTCTTTCATTACCCAAAGATAAAGAAATTATTGAAAGGAAGACATTTTAATGACATTTAGGACATCAAGGGTAATACAAGGACAGCTCTGATGGCCGTTCCAGAAAGAGTTCCAAAATTGCTTTGAAGGGTGGACTAGGTGCTGGTGTTGGGCATATCTTCCCAAGGGGAGTACTTCGAAGGTGACCGTAGTGATAGTCAGCAATGAGGTATGTAGCACTTTTTCTACGGCGAGTTCACAAACCTAATTGTCAGACCTCATATACACAGACTGACGAGCCATGAAAAATGGCTCACCTGATGGTCAGGGGCCTG